TACTCGACTCCAAATTCTCGAACAATTCTGGGAAGTCTGTCTGGCTACAGTCAAACGCGGCTGAATGTTATTGCCTTTTATTTTATCATAGACGAACCGTCTTGTAGATACTGTCATTTTGGTTTCCGTTTACAGCATTGTTAATGCGACATTTTTTTAGTTACCGTTTTATCCTGCTTATTTTTCCAATGGATGAAGATCTGGCATCGACCTTTCATTCGTCTGATTGGTCTAGTAATGTTAGATGATCACGTATTTGAACTTTAAGCGTTGAACAGTAATACATTCAGCTTATACGCAAGTTTTTCAGTTTTGGCTGAATTTCTTTCATCAAACTCTTACCTTTCGGCTTATATACGGATTGCCATATATTTAGAAATACACGGTAATTTATTTCATCCTTTTCTCAGTAGGCAAACATTAATTTTAACACATAAAGTAAAGAATATATGAAATTGTTTGAAATTATTCATTTGGTTATTGTATATTACTTTTAATACAAGTAATTATTCACCATCTCACTTCTGACATTACATATAAAACATTGATATATTTTTAAAAACTTTTTTTTTATTGACACAGAAGGTGATAAGAACTCGAAACAGGCTCTGTGTTAAAAATGAAATAATTAAAAGCGGTATCTATTAACAGAAGAAGTTGTGCATTGTGTTCGAAACGCCATAACAAAATCTTCGCATAAATCTCCAGGCTTTTAAACCAAGAGAGGAACATATCCCTAGGGTCTTCTGTAAGACGAAGGCTAAAATTGTATCCGTATTGTTTCTGGTACTGTCAATAATTGAAGATCTTCATCTGTAATTATGTCACCGTATTGTGATTTTTTGGATGAAGCATGGTTCTACCTCAGCGGCTATATCTGTAGACAGAATTGTAGCATTTGTGGATTCTCGTCTTCATTCTCAGGAAGTTAGTGTATGGCGTGCAAAGTCAAGGCGACAAATGATAGGGTCCATCTACTTTGAAACACTGGATAGCAAGACTTAATAATGCATTGTTTAGTGCTGCGATGGAACCTGATGAGCGTCTGTGTGGTTACAAGTCGGTGCAATTTGCCGTACACCAAATTCATGCATGATAAATATTACTGCATTTAAATTGTATTTTCGCTAAACTTTGTGATCTTATGTATTAAAAAAATAGACATACGTAAAGACGTAAAGGCAGAATTCCTATTGGGTGAAGTTGAGTATAGTCTCTTGCTCGCTACAGGTGCAGCTCTAATCAATACAGTAATTAGCAATGCTGTTTGCCATATTGTTGAGTCCGCTTTTGAATCCCCGAGTTGGCTTGGATGTTTGTTAAAGTATAGTTGTAAAAGCCATTCGGTAATTTATTTCGGTGCTGGAGACTGGAAAAATATGTATTGCCGAATTTATTGTTCCCCATCTTTTAGCTCAGGTGTGACTTGTAGAAACCATTTAGAATTTTTCGAAGCCAAAGAAACCAAGAAATCTGCGGACATTATCTGCGCAGAGATTAGGACTCCGGACCTCCCTCTGCTAGCTGTACATGTTTTCCAATTACACCACGAAGGCACGCAGAAAGGAGGGAAAGGAAGCTTTACGCAATATCTGTGCGGCATATTGGCAAGCCGAAGCACTTCTCCAGTACTTTGGTGGTAAGAAAAGAGAGGTGAACCATCGGATCTGTCCCCTTGGGTGTTTTCTATCAAAATCGGGACTAGACTGTAAGGTAAGTGCAGCGAGACTATAGCTGTAAAACCTTAGTAAAATGTTCGCGTCCTGCCCACTTCTTCCTGTACTACTCTCACCGGGTCATATCAGGGCAAATACTTGTCGAGAATATAGGTTCCAGTTAAATATTGCTTATTGTTGTGTTTTACTTAATAACCTAAAAATCCAGTAAAAATCCAATACCGCACCTAGCATTCCTATAATCCCTTTACAAGACAATTCAATGATATTGAGGAATTTCTTTAGCGACAGGGTTCTTTTTAAAGGACTACGACACGCTCGTTCTTTAGATCTCACCAGTCAATTTTCTTGTAGGGTTGTTTGGAAAAACAGTTTACCGGCAGAATACACATATTATACAAAAGGTGAAGAATCACATCACTGTTGAATTCAGAATATTATCTAAGAAGTGTACCATAACCATAACATATGGTATTAGAGCTTCGCCAACAGTTCAGAATATAATCACAGGCGTGTATGATAACTATAAGGTTGCTAGGGCCATGGTAAACCACCTGCAGATGATAAAAGAAGAAGGACATCATTTTCAGTACTCACTGTTGCTCAGGTATCTGGAAAATACTGTACATACTATGTAGCATTTTTATATACTGTATGTTTACCTCGCGGCCGTTTTTAAATAGAACGTACTGTATTAAAGAGCGCTTTTGAAGAATTTAGCCAGAGCTGGGACGATGTCTGTGGTAGCTGTGATGCCGCTGGCATGTCATACTCGCAAATCTTAAAACTCAGATTAGGGTATTTCAGAGTTGACTACAGTGCACATATTCACAGCCTAAGATGCTTTCCACGAAATAAAGGGAAGCGTCCGAAATTCCAAATGAGTAGATTTATATGTGTTTTCAGGGACGAATAAAATTGGCAGAAAGGATGAATGTGCCCTGCTCCATTATTTAAAATCTAAGCATATGGATATATACTTTTTAATTTCGAGAACTCATTAGAAACAAGGAAATCTAGCTAATTATTTACTATATGCTCAGGAACACGACTGAAATTCGGGACCTTTTATGGCCTGCATGTTAAAGTGATATATTGCCTATGCACATGCAAAATTTCGGCTCGCTTTGAAAATTCGATTATTCATGATTGATGAAAAGGTCTTTCACATTAGGATTACCACAATGCTGCCTGAGATATCATTGGAACTTAATTTAACATTGGATTTACCGTGTTAAACTAGAACTATCATCATATGTGGGTAGTAAAGATATACAAGCTGTGACACACACACACACACACAAAAGGAGACTGGTCCAATAAATCATTGTACATACAAAACCAGTTCTCCTTGACATTATCACTTATCACCTTCAAAGTAGCTCCCTTCAGCAGTCATACACTTCTGCATTCGGTGCTGCCATTGCTGGTAACAGTTCTGAAACGAGGGTTTTGGAAGGCTCTTCAGGAGATTCTCTGTTTTTGCTTGAACCTCTTCAGCTGAGGTAAAACGGGTTACCTTTAAGTAAGATTTAACTTTAGGAAATATAAAAAGTAGCATGGAGCCAAATCAGGTGAATAAGGAGGATGCCCCATCACAGTAATGTTTTTGTTGGTCAGAAACTACTTGACAGATAGGGTCTTGTGAGTGGGTGCATTGTGCACTGGTGCAACAGTCATCCATCACTCTACAACTGTCACAATTTTTTTTCGAATTTTTTCACGAAGACTTTTTATTACTTCAGTGTAGTAGTGTTGATTAACACTCTGACCACTGGGAACCCATTCAATTATGATGAACGTGCTGGGCGCCGAAGAGGTCGCCGTTCACGTTCATCATCTTCCACAATGTCCCTTTCCCCTGAAAACACGCGTGCATGAGACAAAGTTTCATCTCCATAAGCATCCGTTAACATTTGAAATGTTTCTTCCGTGGCTGATTTCTTAAGTTTTAAAAGAAACTTGATGTTGATTCGCTGTTCGGTTTTAGCACTAGACATTTTCCCGGCAGAATGCAGTTGCACGTATTCACTCAATGACGCAGTACTCCCCACTGGCGAGGTGGGTTTTGTCGAAACTGGCCGCATGGATAGAGTAAGGCTAGGATAGAGGAGGGTCTGTGGCATGACGTCACCAAAACTGTTGTTGCCAACTCCACTCTGTTTTCAAGCTACACAGTCTCGTTTTATTTGTGTCACACCTCGTATAGCGAAACCTCTATTCTAGAAGGCCCTTCGTCAGCTGAATGTTCTTAAACGAAAAGCCTTTCCCCGAAGGAATTAATGTAAAAGGAATGAATTTCTTCCTGGACCGCAGATGATTATTAATTTAAACAATAAAGACGTGAAGCACAGTACTTTGAGCCCAAGTTCATGACCCGAAGCCAATGGAAATCATTAAATATAAAATAAAAAAGATAAGGACAGTATTGGACAGATAAAATAAACGAAAACTTAATTTAATTTTACTGTATTTGTGTGAAGGAGAGCGGATGCCATACTTGGAAAATGAAAAGGAAAATGTTGCATTTGGATGACGCGTCCCCTTTCGTAAAAACATCAGGTAACTGTCTTTAGGAAGCATCTTGTTTTACCTTTTCATTGTTTTAAGCATTCTGTTTGAAACTCATTGAGCTTCCATTTCATTCAAAATTTTTCCTTCAATGTTTGTGATAGCATTGAATGAGAAACTTTGCATCTTATCTCACTTTGCCCAAATTTCACCGATTAGAGAATTGGGATAATTTTTCTTTCTTTCTTCTCTTTTGAAGATGTTTCTTGCGCAGTTGCCTTTTGTTGCTGATTCTGAAATTGTGGTAATGCTTTTTCGTTGAGCCTATTTTAATGGTCTTCTAGTAACTTCTGCACGTCTTCATTGTTTACTTCCTAACCGATGGTTTTGCTTAGAAACACAGTGCAGATAACCAAAGAAAGCTTAAGTTTTAAAGGTCCCTGCATTCAACCCATTCTTGGCATAATTTCCTTTAAGCCGAATTCAGGGTCCTGTAAGTCACTGATAGATTTTGTTATGAGAATTAAACAATGGAAAATATTAAATTGATGTTTTTAGATGTACTTCGTTGTTACTTATCCGGCATAAGTTACTTCAAAACACCTTTGAAAATCAAAAGTTGCAGATTTGAGTGTTCGTAACACGAGATACCGTTCGTCATTCGGGCCGTTTTTAATTCCGTAATTTGTTCCATTGTATTAGCTTAACTATATATCTCTCGCCATCTCAATTTATCATACTTCCAAGGCAGTTGAATGAAATTTTGCGTCCCCTGCCGGCGAATAACTTTGAATGCAAACTAATATAGCCATGTGATGCGGCGAAAGTGTGCACAATTTGACAAGCGATTTAAATCTGCTGATATCTGTTGCTGTGCGAGTTGAAGGAAACAGTGAGACTGTATTCTGTATCTAATTCCTATTTCTTGTAAGACTTTACAATGCTGAAACGTATATCAAATAACAATTTAAAACGGTTATGCGTTCGTGAATTTTTAAGATTTTCTTCAGCTACCCCTGCACCGGTTACTAAGCCGGATATTCATTTTACCAAAGTAAATGAATTTTATTGCATGTTAACAAAACATTTTCTTAAGAGAAAGGGATATAGAAAGAAATGACCATAAAATTAAGTTATTATGTAGTATATATCTTTATCTAAATGTATAGTTTTACAGAAATAGCTGTAATTGTAGCGAAACATTAACAGTTGCTTTTAATTTATTATTTTTTTATAGATTTTTATAAATAATGAATGGCAGAAATCAATTTCTGGAAAATCCTTCCCATCTTTAAATCCAGCTACAGGAGAAACTATAGCCCATGTTGAAGAAGGAAGTACTGTAAGATAATTTTTTTTTTTTTTGCATCATAAACTTTATAATTTGAGTCTGTGCCAGTTTTAGTTATATGTATGTACCTAATGTGTGTGTTATGCATATTTCTTTTCATATAGCCTGTGCCAATTTGCTGTACAGGTAAGTCCTGTATCACAACATCCGGTTTTTTAAAAATGCTGTTTTACATGAACTAGTGTTATATAAACCAAAGAACTAGTAAAAGAAAAAAGTTTTCAATTTATCACATAGATTAATGTGTTATTAAATCAATAATTAGTCAGAATTTTTAATATTGTTTGATGTTTTATTCATTGTCATTGCAAATCATGATTAAATGAATACATTTTATTTTTGTGAAACATCTTTATCTTATGATCCCCATCATTTTTAGCAGCATTTTTTCTTACAACTGAGAGATCTTTATAAATTTCATTGTATGGAGTTACCCTTTAAATTTTATGCTTCTTTAAGTTAGATCTATATTTCGAATGTGTAATTCCATGTTGTTGGGATGAGTGGGATGCAATTTACCGTTTATTTTTTAATTTTCTGCTTCTTTTTTCATTTTGTTTTGACAAAGACCTCTCTTGATTGTGTAATGTTTCAATATGCTATGATGCAGAGGTATCTGCAATTATTTCATAGGTAACTGGTAAATGGATTAAAACATTTCTCAGTCGGAATTATACTACAGTGAGACTGTGTTGTAAAAGTGCCATGTTATGCAGGGCTGACTCTAAATAATGATGATCTGAATTCCTCTGTAGCTTTTTTTATATAGTAATAATCAAAACATATTTTTTTTTCTAATTTGTTGCTGTATGTCTTTGTGAATATGCAGCTTGATAGTTCTTTATTTTCTGTTATAACATTTATGTTTATTTATGTTTTTGTTAACAACAAAATGCTTGATGGCTGGCCAGCGTAGATTGAAAGTATAACTTTAACGAAATAATATCAACAATATAAGCTTTGCAATTTTTTTTTTAATAACAAGAAATGACTTACTGATAACTTTTCAAACAAAGTGCCTTATCAGCTATACTATATATATAAAATTTATTTTAAAGGGATTTAAAAGAAATTCTGAAATACAATTACCCATGAATATAAATGTTTTATAATTTTTTATGATGTATAAGTCAGTATGTAAATACTGAACATTGTTGCTTAAATTTATAAATAAACTACTAATAGTAATAGCTATAGTTTTTGCTATAGTCAAGTCAAGGTCTGCTAAAGTCAAGGTTAAAAAAAAGTGTGCTCTTTTTTTTTTTGTTTGTTTGTGTGTGTGTGAGAGAGAGAGGACATATTTTTACTGGCATGTAATGTTTAATGTTATATAAATTTTTTCCATGCGTGTTACATTATTTTTATAATATGTGTTGCAACACAATTTTGAGCAGTACTTAATCATACTGAGTATGTATGAGTTAATTTACATCACTCAATAATTTCAAACGGGTGTTAATTGATTCAGTGCACACTTAACAACTAAAAAAACTTGTTTTTTGAAGTTCTCGCAGTTATCTGTAAGTAATGATAGCAGTTAATGATATATATAGGCTTTAACGAATGATGAAGATTCTATAATTCATAACTGCAAATTTGGATGAGGTTGAATATGGTATAACATTTGAGGTAAGAATATATATGCATATTGCAAATTAAAGTATTAAGAATTTAACTAAGAAATAGAATTCAAATATGATATATAGATTCAAGTTTCGTCTGTATAGCAAATATGTTGAAATATTAATGTTTTAGGAAGAAAGAGAAGAAGGGGGAGAATTCATGAGAGAGAAAATTTTAACAATTGACCAATTGAATGATTCTTATGAAAACTTAATAATTGTAAAAGCACCTTAAAAATAGTTTTGTACTTCCCATTTTAAATGTTAAAAATGAATAATCTAAATGAAGAAAGACTTATCATATGCTACAAACTAGGTCTCTTTTGTCAGTTATCCAAATTGTTAAACATTCTTGAAGAAAATTAAATTCATATCACAGTGAATTTAAAGGCAAGAAAAAGTTAGGTAGCTATATCACTGTAAGAATATTATGCATATAATGAACTAAAAATTTAATATGAACCAATTTATTCCAATACTCATATTATTGAGATAGATTGGAGCTGAACTCGTAATTACAGTATAAAATTGCCTTTATGAAGTGTATTTAATTTGATATGTATGATACCGTTTTGAAGTTACAAATAATAAATTAGTTGTTTGATAAGGATGTCATGTTCTTAATTTATGAGGTGGTCCACTTTCATTTCTTCTTTGCATAATAACCATTTATATATGTATTTTAAGGAGGATGTGGACAAAGCCGTAAAAGCAGCTCAGCATGCTTTTCAATTTGGTTCCCCATGGAGAAGACTGGATGCCTCAGAGAGGGGAAAACTTTTGAATCGTTTGGCTGACCTTATTGAGAGAGATAGAGTGTATTTAGCAGTAAGTGTTTTATAGAAACTTTGAGCATGTTTAGCTATAATTATTTAATAAAAACTTAAATGCTTTGTGTATTATAGTGGTGTTAACAGACATTTGTTTGTAATATAATGATTAAATTAAATGTAATATAATGATTAAATATTATAAGTTAAAGTAATTAAAATGTTGTACATTTAATGATGGTTAAGCTTAAAATTGTAATATTCCATAAATTCATCATCATTTGCAGATTTTAAAGGAATTCATGCTATAAAAGTCTGTAGGTGGAATTGTAATTTCAGGTAGAGTCAGTGTACTGTTAGAATGGACTGAACAATAAAGGACAGAGTTCCCTGTATTTTTATTCCTGTATTCAATAAAAATAACATGATAAAGGTTGCTCATGATGTACCTCTAAATTGGATTTTATTGTTATGTACTGTTTATAGTGCATAACAATAAAATGTTATGCACTATTTATTGTTATTTATTATTGTTATGCACTATAACAATAAAATCCAATTTTTCCAATGCTTTCCAAGCGTTTTAGTATATGACTGATGTTTAGGTAATCTAAAGAGGGGGGATGTTTTCTCTAGGTGAATTATGTAATAAAATAATGTAAATAAATACAGTAGTAATAAATGTAGTAAATAATAAATTAGTTAATACTAAAGAGTTACGTATTTATATTGATGAGTATGCATGAGGAGCAAATTGCGGGAGTTTTTTTGAAAATTTTGTTGAGGAGATCCTTGTAGTTAGGTTAGTTGTTTAAGCTTATATGCAAGGAAAGAAGAATTTATTGATTTCCATACTGCCATTTAGCACCTGGTGACAACAGATTTTCGACAGCTGAGGTTTGCAAGGAAATCAATTTCTTGATAATGGGAAAGTCTGGTAGATCTTGTCTAGGATCAAATTTAGATTTGACGAGAGATCCTAAGCTATTTGAGATAAGGGGCAATTTATATGAGGGATATGTGTTAATTTTTTTGATATGGGTCATTTCAATTTTTGGGGTTGGCCCCAAGAAAGTGGGGGCCCTAAGTTATAGCCTATGCAGCTTATACATAAATCTGGCACTGATCTTGTGTAATGCGAAATCCCAGCTGTAAATAAATTGTTAAATCATCCTTATTGTTGCCTCAAACACTTTCTTCTGTTATGAAGAAATAAAAAAATATCATCAAATATAAATTCAAACAAAGCACTTTCAATACCAAAATATTTTTGCTCGAAAAACAAAAAAACATCTTATAAGAATAAATAATTTCTCATGATGATTTGCTTGGTTAGATGTGTTGGTGTGGCTTTTCCCTCTTCTTGATGATAAGATCTTACTGGTTACCTTCAACAGGCTATGAACAAAACTGTTATGGGACCTATTTCAAATGTTCCCCTTTGCAACAGTAATGCAATGTGTAGTTTTCTTTAGAAATAATGTAAATATAAATTTGGCATTTCTTTATAATTATTTTGGAATTTTAAATTGAGCTAACTACATAAGTTGCTATACAGTTAGAAAGTATTAAAGTATTTTTCATTACATTGAAATTTCTTCTTCCCCCTTTTTTTTTTAACAGAAGTATTTTTCAATTACATTGAATTTTTCTTCTTTTTTTTTTTTTTTTTTTTCTTTCTTTTTTTTTTTTTTTTAGTAAATTAATGTGATGATTGCAAGTAATTTAAATACATTTTTTTTTACAGTTATTTTTAGACCTGGGATAGACCAGATGTAAAAAAAAAATGGTTGATCTTTACAATATGGTAACTGGTAGTTTGGCGACATTTTGGAGGCAATAAAGGTTACTACCTGGGACTTTGGTAATAATGTGAGCAGTACTCAGTTCCGATTACGCATTTTTGTGTGAGGAAATGAGAGATCATGGGATATGTCATGTGATATTAAGGACGGAATTACGGTTCTTTAATCGGAAAAGGGGGAGAATCGGGAAAAATCTGGAAATTTTGTATTTGACTTTATTCTGTGTTGTGTGAAACAGTGTTCATGAAATTTGGATCCCATGGCCGTAACTAAAGTGAATTCGAAATGGGTATTTATGTATGTATTAATTTAATGTATGTGCTCATTTATATTTTAAGTAGTGTTTTTGAATTTAATTATATATTTAATTAAATGATAGTTATTTTGTGAATTTATGTTTGTAGGAATTTGGTATACGTTTTAGTTGAAAGTAACGTGCATGGAATAATTTAAATATTGATACTAGTATTTGTAATACTTGCGGTATGAATTCGTTGGTGACGTGTATAATGTAATAGATGATTTTAGAGGTAAAAGTTTTGGATATTTTATTTATTTTATATGTGGAAATGTTCATATTTGGAAGGGTAAATACTTTTTCGCGATCAGGTAATTTCATATATGTTCTTTTTACCGGGTTTAAAGATTGAGAAAATTGTCATGTATTTTCGTGTGAAATTTTCTAATTTATGAGAAAAAAGCAGTGTACATGGATATAATGAAGAGTGTGCGCAATGCCATTTTTGTGCAATTCTGGGATGTTTTTTTAAGTAAAAATAAGTCGACGTGTACATGGTTAGTGATATTTTAATTAAATGATAGTTATTTGTGAATTTATGTTTGTAGGAATTTGGTACACGTTTAAGTTGAAGTAAACGTGCATGGAAATAATTTAAATATTTGATACTAAGTATTGTAATGCTTGCGGTATGAATTCGTTGGTGACGTGTGTATAATGAATAGATGATTTAGAGGTAAAAGTTTTTGGATATTTTATTTATTTTATATGTGGAAATGTTCATATTTAGAAAGGGTAAATACTTTTTCGCGATCAGGTAATTTCATATATATTCTTTTTACGGGTTTAAGATTGAGAAAATTGTCATGTATTTTCGTGAAATTTTCTAATTATGAGAAAAAGCAGTGTACATGGATATAGTGAAGAGTGTGCGCAATGCCATTTTTGTGCAATTCTGGGATTTTTTTTAAGTAAAAATAAGTCGGCGTGTACATGGTTTATGTGTATGTGTTATTTTGAAAAACGCGTAAGGAGTATGGAGTTGGTATGTGCACTTTTCCCCCAATTTTGCAGTGAATATTTGTCATGATTAAGCAGTTTTGTTAGATAAAATTTCTAGCATAAGTGTAATTCGGCTAGTAGATTGTTGGAAGAAGTGTTCAGTAGATAAAAAGAAAAGAAACATGTCTTTACTTCGTGAAGACAAAATGGCGGTGGGGGAAAAAAATAGAGGGTTGCTGTAGGAGAGTTGGTCGCCAAATTTTCGCCAAAAAAACGCCAAGTTACCATAATGTAAAGATCAACCAAAAAAACTTTTTTTTAATATTCTTATTTATTTTTTTATTTTGAAAATTTGTAATTTGTTTGGGAACAATTTGTAGTATACACTTTATCTGGAATTTATTTACAAACAAGTTTTAGAGACTAGCTAAAATATTCTATGTACTTATTTTTCAATAATAATTATGTTATGTGTTATTGTGAACTGTGATAAATTTTACTGATAAAAAGGTTAACTTATTAAATAAAAAATTGTATAATACTTTCTGATTATTCACCGCCTCCAAGAAAAGGTGCCAACTCAGGGTGACTTTGTGTTTTCCAGAAACGTACATTTTTAAAAAATCTGTCTGTGTCTTTTGTTCGTGCTGCGTGTTAAGTTAATAGACCCAGGGCTACGAAATTTGGTACATAGGTGCATCTAGACAAGAGCCAGTGCACCTCGAAGTGATTTTTTTCAAAATTCGAATAAGATTTTTGTGTTTTATGTTTTTCGATGAAATCGCATCAAATCAATAATTCTCTCTCATTATATCAGCAAGGATGGCACACAGCCATTGTTGCTGATATATCACTGTTGCCATTGTAACTGATATCAGCACTGCAGCCACTTGATAAAATGTGTGATAATTCTGTGCAGTTTTTAAATTTAATGTTTCTCTTGGATACTGGATGTTTGTTGAGAGAAGGCAACGGGAAGTTGATTAATTTATTTATTAGGATAGTTAGTATTTGTATTAAGGGATATTGCTTATTTCATTGTAATTTTTTTGTATGTAGTACATTTTTATTGATTTTGTTTTGATAAAGTTGTACTGCAGAGTAAAATTCTGTGCGGTTTTTAAATTTAATGTTTGGTGTTTCCGTAGGCATTTTTTCTGGTACATTTAAAAGCCAGACAAAAGCTAGCTACATAGTGGCTAGTCAATAATAAAAAGTATTTTATATGAAACAAAAATCAGTATGGTCAATGGTTACATTTTTATAGCTCTTTAGTGAAATGACGATTAAATGTAAAGTGTGTAATCCATGTGTACTCGACCAAGCATACAGTGCATGCATGTGCGAGATGGTATGGCTGTCATTTTGTGAATATTTGAAAGTATGTTAAAATCTTGATTTATCAAATGTTGAAATGGGGGGGGGGGAATGGATAATCATAAAATACCAAATTTATGTGCTTGAAATATATGAATGAAAAATTGCATTTTACTGATGAATGTATGTCTTTCCAGAGCCTGGAAACTTTAGACAATGGCAAGCCATATTCTGATTCTTATCACATAGATCTTGATCTGGTGGTCAAAGTATACAGGTTCGTTTCTTCTTCTCTTAGAAATCTCAAATCTCAAAGAAAATGATTAAAATAAGATAAAATAAATTATTTAATTATTGAAGGTGATATAAATTTTATTTTACAGGTATTATGCTGGTTTTTCTGATAAAATTTACGGGAAGACTTTGGCGGTAGATGGAAATTATTTTTCATATACGAGACATGAACCTGTTGGTGTGTGTGGCCAGATTATACCAGTAAGAAATATATTCTGTCCATTACTTTGTTAAGTATATATTTTCATTGGCTTATTATGTAATAGTCACTTTTTGAAAATTCCCAAAATAGTGGAACTTTCCATTGTTGATGCAAGCATGGAAGCTTGCTCCTGCACTTGCAGCTGGTAACACAGTGGTTCTGAAGCCTGCAGAACAGACTCCTCTGACTGCATTGTATGTTGGACAACTTATTAAGGAAGCAGGTTTCCCAGAAGGTGTTGTGAACATAGTTCCTGGTTATGGCCCTTCAGCTGGAAGTGCTATTGCTAATCATGCAGGTGTTGACAAACTTGCATTTACAGGCTCGACTGAGGTAAATTAACTACAAATAGTAAAAAATAAAATTGGCAGAGTGGGGGCTACTGTTGTGCTATAGGATTCATCATATAATATTAAAATTTTTGTAACTTTGCTTCATTTTAAAAGTTTTTAAATGCCCAATTTTTATTTTATGTTTTAATATTCTTTTGTTAAATATTGCAAAATGTCTGAATAAAAAATACTGACAAATTTATCATATCAAACTTTATTAGATCGCATTTCTGAGAAAATTATCTACTTCAACTTTTTGTTGAATTATAGTAAAGATAAAACAGTTTTTAGTTCAAATCTTGAGTCAGGTCATGTGGCTGAAAAGTATTATTATTAAGAGCTATATTTTTTCTCATTTTGCTGTGCATGCCATTGTGAAGTCCTCTCCCCATTATAAAATTTCTTCATAATGCCCTGCACATTAAAAGATGCATCCTCCCCATTTTTAAATTTCTCCATAATATCCTGCACACACACACACACACACATATATATAAATTAATAAGAAAAATTGTCTCCAAGTAAGAGAAAGAAAAATTTTAATATTAAATGTTAGTAAAGTAAAAATTTTTAAAATAGTTAAATTCATGAACTATGGTAAACACATGTGAAAAACTTAAAAATCAAAGCAAATTGAGGCCAAAAAATTCAATTATTGGCATTAGATGAAAACTGATTGACTTTTCAAGAACAAGTTGTTTCTGTTCAAATAACAATAAGTAATTAATTGAAAAAAATTATATTTTGTATATAATATATAATATTATAATTATATTAATAATACAAAATATAATAATATTACAATATATAATATTGTAAATTATTATATTTGGTTTCTGTTCAAATAACATTAAGTAATTAATTAAAACAATTATATTTTGTCTCCTCCATTTGCAAGAATATCAAACCGAAAAAGTGCAAGTAAAGAAATTCAATTATTAAACTAGATCTATAAAACATCTATTAAATTATTCAACTAGATCATTAAAGGAAGCCATAAAATAAAAATAATAAAATGAAATTAAAGCTTAAATTAATTATTGTTATTTGAATGGAAACAGGTTGTTCTCCTCGAAAAGTCAATATGTTTCTATTCAATGACAGTAATTGAATTTTTTTTGCCTTTTGCAATTTAATTTGATTTTTACGTTTTTCACATGTGTTTTCCTTTATTCATGAATTTAACAATTTAAAAATTTTTTACTTCAATCATTTAAGATAACAGTTTTTTTCTTTCTCTTGGAGATAATTTTTCTTTTTAATAAATATTTATTTCTAACTATGCAGCTTCAGTGCAAGTTTTAGGCTTTTTTGAATTATCACTCTTACCTTTTAATTAATTCTTTGAGTATATATATGTGATAAGAACAAACTCAGAAGTAATGACCAGCTGGAATTTTTGATACATAATGAATAGAAAATGATGAATACATAATATTCATAATGAATAGAAAAAATAAAGGCGAAGGCAGATTAAATCTTCATTTTTTATTTCAGTAAACATGTTGCAGATGCAAACAAGTTGGCACATTAAATGGGCCTATTCCAAAAAGTTTGCATTTTAGAAATATTTGCAATGAGATAAAAGGAGCAGACAGATGGCAGTCCAGCTAGGCCAAAGCGTTGAAAGCAATTGCGTTATGTTCAGGGTGAGATCTTAATTCAGACTCAGTTAGTTTTGGTTCTCAATGCATTTTGATTGGATAGTTAATACTTCTGTAAAATTATTATTGGCTGTTTGAGTTTTAGTTCCATTTACATCATCAGAATTATGTAAGAACTATGACATGGGTTATATGACATGGGTTAATCTCGAAATGATGCAGTGCAGAGTGATTACTATTTTTAGAATAGAAAAGGAAAATTGATTTACGCTGCTAATTAAATCTTTTACATGTTCTTTATTTGTCTTACATATATACCTGTATAAAATGGACCATCAAAGCAAAAATCTAGTGTAAATTTTGTAGAGATTATTTAAATATTAATAGTCACATTATCTGTTTTTGGTGTCCCACATATGCCAGTTTTTCATTCCATTTCTTCTCTGTCAGTTTTGGTTTAGCTGAACTGTACATTCCATGGTAAAAGTGGCAATGGGAAACCTTTGCAATTTATTTTGCTGTGGTCATTATTATATTAAAACCTGAAGAGTGCAGTTTTACTGATGCTCTAAAAATACACAATGAGGGGATAAAAAATGGTTTTCTGTAATTCAGTTTTGTAACTTAGAGCAAAAAATTATATTTTCCTCTAGTCCAATGCAAACTACAATCTACTCTGATGCCTGTTGACACATGAAAAACAAAATTTGAACGTTATATATGCATAGTACATCACATTTATAATGTGACTGTGATAATCTGTACCTTATTATTTTTTTAATTTGGTTCTGAGCATTATACCATATATGCAAAGTACACTTCAAAATAACAATTGATACTAATGCTTATTTCCTTGCTTTAAATATATTTTGAAGGTAAAGTAATTAGTTTTGTTTTAAAATCTGTTAATTTATGTAATTAGTTCAGGATTTTATCATTTAGAATACTTTTAGGTTGGTAAAATTGTGATGGAGGCAGCTGCTAAATCTAACCTGAAACGAGTAACATTGGAGCTGGGAGGCAAAAGCCCAAATATAATATTTAAAGATGCAGATTGTAAGTGTTCGTTTAATCACTACTTTGTATTTATTTCTTAATAAAAGTACAGAAATTAAGTTAGTATTCTCAATAATAGTTTGCTTATTGAGAATATATGAAATCTTATTTTCACTATATGAAATCTATATGAAATCTTATTTTCTTTCCTTTTTTTTTAATAGTGGATCATGCTATTCGAACTGCTCATTTTGGCTTGTTTTTCAATCAAGGACAATGTTGCTGTGCTGGATCTAGAATCTTTGTGGAAGAGGATATATACAATGAGTTTGTAGAGAGAAGTGTTCAGAGTGCTAAAAGTCGAAAAATTGGTAATCCTTTTGAATCAGGTGTTGAACAGGGCCCACAGGTAATGTATTAAGGGAGAAAATTCATTGTGTATAAGGTACAGAATGTCTTTTAAGTCAAGCAAGCCTCAAACAAAATTTTATGGAATCCATTTAAAATGTCCCCATCCCTGATTTGGCAGCACTTAGATTCAGCAGATACTGCTGTCCTATAACATACATTTACTGGTAGAAGGATCAGTATGGTATTAAATGAGATGCCTTTCTTAGAGATATAGATATGATGCAGATTTAGTCTTTGCAAGGGAAATCAAAGCCTTTAAATGAACATACATGTAAACATCAAGTGGTGTCAGGTTTGAACATCTTGGAAGGTCACTCATCCCTTGGCAACCTGTACAAGATCTTTAAAACTTGCAATTAATTTTTCATCATGCTAGACTTTTAATGCACTCTGTACTTCACTTATCTCTGTAATTTTAGATGTGATTTAACATGCGATTATAATTTTTCATTTAACATTTTTGTAAAATGAAAATTAATTTTTATTGTTTTCAAAGGTTCTAAGCTGACACAAAATAACTCACTACTCTAGTTTTAAATAAAAATAATTTGATCAGAATTTTTATTTCAGAATATTTACTTGAATATTACTTCAGAGGGGAAAAGATATCAGTTTTTTTTTTAAAGGAAAAGTTGTATAACATTTGTTTATACTGTGTGTTTTAAAAACAGTTTTTAATACTTAAAACATTAAAATGACTTTTCCATTTATTGTAATTAATATTATCAATTTTGATCAATACTGTACTGTTAGGTAATTTAAGATTACTGCTGTGTAAGATATTATGATTGTACTATTTGAATTCATATTATAAATATAAAAAACACTGAATATTAATCAGTTATAACAAGTTAAATTTTCATTTGCATGTTTTAGATTGATGATGAACAAATGAATAAAATTCTGGACTTAATTAAAAGTGGTAATGCTGAAGGTGCAAAAATGTTGTGTGGAGGTAATCGTCATGGTGGTAAAGGTTTCTTCGTAAGTCCAACAGTATTTGCAGATGTCCAAGATAATATGCGAATAGCTAATGAAGAGGTAAGTACTGAAACCTATAAGTAAACTCTAAAGACAAAAACTGTAAAGACTAATATTTATGAAATCATATTTGTTAGAGAAGATACAATCATTTAAGGATTATTGTAAGCCTATTAACTCTGCATACATTCTTTATATTCTGGTCCTGTCATTTCTTTTATGCATCATTAATTATTTTGGTGAAATTCATTTAGACATATTCAGTGATTTATTCATTCGGAGTACTAAAATTCATTGCACTTAGTACACAAGGAAAGGATTCAAAGCTATTGTCTCATTTCTGTTTCTGATTAGAGATTTAGTTTTGAATTTTTAGATTTAGTTTTTAATTCTAGTTTTGAAAAATTTTTCATGTTATGTAAATATTAAGTTATTTGGTACTTTCTAATTCTAATTTCATACATATCTTTAAACACTGAAAATTAGGATGCTACTTCCTACTGTTATTTTTAACTATCCTGCAGATTTTGTCTTTTATGTCAGTTATATAATGAAGAATAATTAAGAAATAAGCTCATTATGAATTCTTCCCCATTTGTTCTGACCATTGAACGTTTGTAATTTGATTTAGGTTTGAGACCAGATGAACAACTGCTTTCATGGTTTTCTCTATAAATCACATAGGTATGAACCACTTCTCTGGAGAAGGTCCTAGACAATGGCATCCTTCCCTTTAGGCAGATGGCCATCATGTGCTTTGCAATATTCAGATAACCCAGTTATTGAGGAATACCGAGAGAAAATAAAAAGCACAAGGAGAAATATCTGATCAATGTTATGTGTTAATCTGGTGCTTTGACATAATTCAGAAACATTGATCAAAAGGTATAGGACAGTGGTCTTCAAATTTTGTCGTCTCCTGGAACCTTTAGAACTATTAGGTTTTTTGAAAACTCCCATCCCTTAGAAAAGTATATCTTAAAATAATATTTAAAAAAGATAAATATGTTAAAGAAATTTAGCCACCCGGTAGCGATACCGAAGGGCCTGGGTTCGAATTCTGAAGGCATGGTTGCAATTGTCCGTCCCTTCATAGGAAAGGTGGTGGTGGCCCACTTAATTAGGTGCCTCCATAATAAAGAGACCATTACATCTGGCCTCGTATAGATTAATGGACTAGGTTACATTTGTAATTGTTCACAATCTGCCATTGGGGAAAAAGAAATTAAAATTATTGTATTTTTTAAATAAAAACTGTAATGTAAAAATTAATGTATTTACATAATGTGGCACTATTCTGTTTTGAAGACCATAAAAAAAATTGCAGGGAAAATATATGCGCAAAAGCGCCAAATCTAGCAAATGTGCCCATTTAACAGTGTGCCAAATCTAGCGTATGCGCTGATTTCAAATTGCACAAAAGTTTAGATAGTTCTATATTTCTTAAGACGCTATTGAAATACTAGTTTAATTTTTAAATCCTTTTTTTGATTTTACATCCTTTTTCAATATCCTGTGGATTTAACAATTTGGGAATTGCCCATGACGCTTTTCGGTAGATAGGTGGCGCTCTTGATGCGCGCCAATGAAAAATATTCTACTTGACGCTTGAACATGAAGAATGACACATGTCATACCTTTTTTAATGCTTGATTATGTTTTCATGGCCGCTATAGGCAGAAGTAATATTATATCTTTAAGCTTATCGTTAATAAACGTTATTTCTGTGTTCTGTGAAATCTTGAAGTTTTTGATTGCACATTATAATGTTCTCCCAAATTGACTCCTGAAACGAAACGATCTTTGAAATTATGACTCATGAAGAGACACCATACATTTTTTGGTCAAAGTCTGCAATAGAATTTTTTCAAAGAAAAGGCATCATTCATTATAGAAAATTATGTTTGAACAACCAATGAGATGAAATTATGCTTTAGCGATAACTCGGTAGCAAAATAGCAATTCAAGAATCCATTCAGTTATGTTTAGCATTTTTTCATATAGATTATAATAATGATCTGAAATAGTTATTTACTCTTATGCTTCCAGTCAGTTATGTTTAGCCTTTTTTATATAAATTATTATAATAAAAGCGTATTATATGAAATTAACCTTGTATCTAAATTAAAACAATAAAATCTTAGATAATTATTTGTTGTTATACTTCCTTTCTTGCGTTAGGGTTGCCGCATTTATTTTAAGCAGCACTGGCATCAACAATAGTTTAGCAATTTTTTTTTACGGTCTTCAAAACGGAATAGTACCCATAATGTAATTTACTTAATAACATTAATTTGTGTTCCATGTGCCACCTACGTTTGGCTTATATTTAATGATAGGGGTGTGCTTTCATTTTTTTTACACAAACTGTCAGTCTAGCTGCATTTATGTTATCTGCAGCCACATTTCATGTTCTGCATTTAATTTGTTTCTATATTCTCTTTTGTTCCACACACTTTGGAAAAGACGCACAAGTTGAGAAATATTCTTTTCTCTTAAAATACATTGTAAAGTTTCTAGGTATTCTGCATGAAAATAGAATAAAAAATTTAGGAGCTGATCTTGCTTAAATTTAGATTTTATTGTCGAATTTGTTGATATGTTGTTCTATTTCTTTCACTGGCAAGCCTTCTGATTTATTGTAATACTTAAAAGAAATTTTATATACTGTCATACTTTTTTCCCTTCTCAAGAAGTATTCTCTTTTAGTTTCCTTTAATTGAAAAAGATGCTCTATTGTTAATTTTTAACAATGTCTGTTAAATTCAGTTAATTTTCCATTAGAAAACTAGTTTTGCAAAGCATTGCCAGCAATTTTTATTGACATATTATGACCACATGTTAAGTTACAAAACTAATCTAGAACTAAATATATCTTTTTATTTTTTACTTAGTAAACTCTAGTTAATTAAGGCGAGTGATTGAGTGATTTGTAATTTTCTTTTCGAATTTTTATTTTGATTCACAGAGCCCGAACTCTGAGATTTGACTTGTGGAAACCCAGGGTTCCATGAAGTACAGTTTGAAGACTACTTTTATAAGAAAAGAATGCCTCCTGTATAATATGCTGCAGTCAAAAATAATTCTTGGTATTAGCATCCAAAGATTTAAAATTTACAACTGAGCGTGAACAGGTCTCTTTTGTAGCAAGATCTATTGAACTTGTTGTAAGCTGGCTTATGCAAAGGGAATATGAAACAAAACAAGATGAAAGAAAAATTATAAACTGCAATTTTTTAAAAAAGTGGTGTTGTATTAATAAGTAATATAATGGGAATTGCCATTTAGAAGTTAGAATGGTGTCAAACACTTGAATAAATATAAAAAGTTTAAAAAAATCAGATATATAATGGTAATTATTGCTAGAATATGCTGTAACAAAAACTTTTGTTGCCTGTGCATGTTTGATTAAAACAATTACACCAAAGTCATTGTTTTGGTACAATTATGTCTCAGAACAAAAGGGACTGCAGACTGCCATAATGAACAGTAAAGACAGTTTGACACAGGGATGCCATAATGTAAAAATGTGAAAGAAGCAAAATCCTTCAAATCCATATGTAGACGTAAGATGCTCAAAATCTTTAATTTAAAAATATTTATTCTTAACATAGTTGAAACTGTATTTCTCTCACTGCAATTTGTATCTATTAGTTTAACATAAAAGTGAATATTTTGTATTATTTTAATGAGCACTTTTCAGTTTAACAAAACTCTTTCACTGTTATATTAAAACTTGCAGAAATGTAGGGCAAATTCACCTAAGTGTTTAAAAATATGATTAGTTTTTTTTAATTAATCGTATTGTTTTTACTTAAAGTCTCATTGTTAGGTTTCTATTTCTCAATTAGCTGATAAATAATTGAAAAGCTCTATTCATTAAATTCATTCATTCAATGAAATAATTTTCTTTACAGTTTTAGCATATCTGTTAGCATAAACTAATAATAATCTGTGGATTTCTTAATTTTTGAAGGAAATTTTAATTCTCAATTAAATAAGGGTTTGTGATGTTAGTTTCAATTAAAACAGTTAAATGTAAAAATTTAATGACTTCCCATTAAAAAAAAACACATTGCTTATTTGCTTTTGATTCAAAATAAACCTGATTGAATTACATAGAAGTTTAATATCATATCTGTAATGTAGGGTTTTAAAATGTATGAATTTCTTTTCACACAATTAATTATGTATCAAATATATTTTCAGATTTTTGGACCTGTCATGCAAATTATGAAATTCAAGTCAGTTGATGAATTATTAGAACGTGCAAATAAAACTATGTATGGCTTAGCTGCTAGTGTGTTTACTCAAGATATTGACAAAGCAATGTATTTTTCTAGTGGTCTAAGAGCAGGCACTGTATGGTAAGTTCTTTTGTAGAGGCAGTATATTTTATCCAACTGTTAAAGTTATATTAACTGTTATTATATAAAGTTATAGAGAATATCTGTAAAGTAATAAAGTTACTGAAAGAGTAAATTGAGAAAATTTTTTGTAACTAACACTGTCAGTTTAATTGCTATTCTTAAATCATTTTACAGTATTTTAAATTTCTAGAATTTTATTAAACTGAATATTTGAAATACAGTCAAAAGTCATTAATCCGGACTTGTTGGGACTTCGGCGATTCCGGATTACCGATTTTTCCGAATTATAGATCATCAGTTTAAGTCTGGTAAGATGGCATGCAGAAATTATAAAATTAAAAATATGAAACCGTAATTTGTGAAATAAAAGCCCAATTATGATCTAAAGGGTATCAAAATTTACACAAAAAAAAAACTTAATATTTATTTGTTTACTTTATTAAACATTTCTTTCAATGTAAGTTGTTTAAATTGCTTTGTTTTATTTGATAATACTTTCTCTTTATTTCTATAAACAGACATAATTTCTTGTTCAGTTACAAAGTTCCGCTGTTCAAGTCCTATAATTGCTGTGTCGAGAATACCGACTAATTTGTCAAACGAAATTTTTTCGTTTTCAATAACCTCTGTGTCACTTTCTTCACTATCGGAAGTGAATTATAATGACGAGGAATATGATTTAAATCATATCAGAGTACATCGAGATGAAATACTACATTTAGTAAGGAATTATAAGCCAAATAAAATAAAAACATCTGCCCTGCTGAAGATAAGGATAGTGCTGACGGATCAACTTCCAATTCATTGCGCGCTGTGGCATTTCCTTTCTCCCCCCCAGCCGCAGAGCAGCAGGAAATTGATAAACAGATTTCGGAATGGTTAGAGAAACAAAGGATATGCCTTTATCCATTTTTTGCAGCAATTTCACTTTTTGTTTGATGGACATGGAAACATACTTTCGCTTTGTGAATCCTTTGGGAGCTCCAGCATCAAAAATTCTATTTGACATAATCGAAAGTTCAAGCTTACTTTTATAAAATTGCTCTAACAGTCTGCAAAAAATAATAAGCCGGATCCAATTCGAAGATTAAGGAACAATGCAATCTGCAACATTAATTGAAATAGATAATTAGATAATTTTAGCTTATACCGTCCATTATACATTAATCGCGCATGCGTAAATGTATTATGCACGTGCGCACATGCATATGCACAGCTGTAAAGATCTTACATGCATGTGTCAATGCGGCGCATGTGCAGAAAGTTTGTAGTTTTGAGGTCTGGATTATAGATCATTCCAGATTATGGGTGTCCGAATTAACGACTTTTGACTGTACATTTAAAAAAAATCGATTTTATCAATGGTTCATATCACATGTTAGTACATGCAGTGAAAAACATTTATAATTCTTTATTGATTTCTAATTTTGTAAAAAAAATAAGGTATTGTGCCCTTTTTTGAGGAAAGTTGAATATTTGTAATCTTTAATTTATAAAATGAGACTGATTGAAAATAATTAATTTTACAGTTAGATTAAATTTTATTATCTGTTGGTATTAATTTTCTCAAAGTGTGTTTTTCTTAATTTTGTAGGATTAACTGTTATGATGTGTTCTCTGCTCAAGCTCCATTTGGAGGATTTAAAATGTCTGGAATAGGACGAGAATTGGGGGAGTATGGTCTCCAGGCATATAGTGAGATAAAAACAGTAAGCTGCTTTCAGTTTTCTCTTTAAATAAACTGTTATTTGAATTACTTGACATCTATACCAGTATAGCAAGAAATTTGAATGGAAATATTAACTCTACAGTAAAATGAGTTAGTTCTTGAAATTAAAATTTCTTTGCTTTTTCTAAAAAAAAATATATTTTTATTATGTTATATAAGTATGCATTGGTTCTAATTGGAAGAGAAACACACCACTGTGAAAACTAAAATTAGGAAAAACAGCAAACTTCGATTAACATAAACTATATTGATATAAAGGGCAATCTGACATAGGTCCCTCTTACTCAGAAGTAAAAATTTTTTGCTGCTAATTGGCCAGCTGGAGAATAATCAGTGTTATACATTGCAGTATTGTACATGGTTCTTCCTTGCTGCATGATATCATGAACCTGGCTTTTTTTTTTTTTTTGTAACATCTGGTAAAGTCAAGGCTACATTTGAAAATGATTGACAATCCATATCTTTCTGGGAGGGTTTTTTAGGATTATTGTCATTTCATTATATCACCAAATGAATGCCAATGTAATTCTAGATTACACACAATAACAAACAATGTAGGAAAATTTGTAAAAATTGTTTTCACCCATTTATTTAGTTAATACATGAAGTACCAAGTCAGTTACTGGTGTGAAAACTAAATATTATATTAAAAATAAAAATAAAATATTTATATTTTTCGTTTAGACTGCATCAGTCACCAGATACTGATTCTACACTTGATTTCCTGGACAATCACTGGTGACTGACAGTATAACTTTTCATTCAGGCCACATCAGTCACTGTTGTCTGATGCTATACATTAAACTCTTGCCAAATGCAGGGGTTACATTTTTAATGCATTGTTCATATGATGTAATTGCATTCTGCAAACTTTCTTTGGAAAAAATGTGTTAGGTGTTAAGAAAATTCAGATTAAGAAAGTGTATATAATGTAATAACCCTAAATATTACAGTAATTAAAAGAAAAAGTGAAACCGGTGTTTGTTATTTTTTTGAAAAGGCTGTTTATTTTTGCTTGGGACTATGACCTCATTTAGATCAAGCCCCACTGCAAATTCCGAAAGCTCTTGTGCCTTTTTTAACAATTTGTTTAACTTTTTGGAAGTTAAAAGCACTTTATTTTCTTCACTGTCAGATTGTGTTATAAGATCATCTAATTCTTCATTCATAATTTCTCAATTAATTAATTGACTTCTCTTTCCATATTTGAAAATCATTCATCACCAGTTGTTTTTGCAATGAATATGATTTCTTGGCTTCAGTTTCAGTAAATGGGAATCCTTTAAAATTTTTGTAATTTTTAGTCAGAGCTGATGCTGACAAGCATTCATTGTTGATGAATGAATGTTGAATGGCATATGAATAAAATTCCAGTGTTGGACAAACTAAATGTAGAAATTTATGGTTGAAACATATGTGCGAAATCACATTATGCAAATCTGCATTTGGCAAGGGCTTACTTTATAATTTAAAAAATTATAGCCTTCTATCAAATTTTACACAGATACATAGATCTCTGGTTTTCAGCAATCATTCAAAGATTCTTAATACTGAGCCTTAAAAGTGTATGATTTTAAGACTCTTACTTTTATAAAATGTTATTAAACTGGAAGGAGAAAAATGAAGGAATGAAGAAATAAATATATTGATAAATTGTAGATAATTTAGTTTTATACATATGAGGCAAATAATTCAACTTACGATTTGATAACAGTTTGTAAACTGACGATATTTTAAAATTGAATATCACTACATCAGAGTTAGATGAGGATTTAGCTTTTAAAATTAGAAGTGCAGGAGCCTTATGGAAGGCTGTTTGAAGTGGTAAATAAAACAATAAATAATATGTAATGAAAGTTAAGTGATATTAGATAAAAATTGAAATATTGTAAAAATTGTGTAAAATAATGAAACGTATGAAAACTGACTAAATTAAAAATGATTTTTAAAAAGTAACACCAGAATCAAACAAAATAATAAAGTAAATGTTAAGGTGTATAATTTAATAGTAATGAGACATGGTACTAAAGGCTAAAAGAGAAACACATATTTTAAATAGTATTCTTCGTCAAGTAAAATTGCTGCCTTACTTGAGCATCTAATCCATTCAAAGCCTGAAAAGATGAGTATAAAACATAAAAATTTCTTTTCCTGAAGAAATCACATTTAATTTGAGAGTGTGTTTTCTCAGTTGTTCAAGTTTTCTTGTATATTTTGCTCTTCCCATGGAAAGTGAGATGCTTTCTATACTGTGTATGAGTATCAGTTTTGTTAACTGCTAAAAATGTTGTAATAATAACAAGATTTTGTGTTGATATCATAATTCACTTTTATGAGAAATTTCTGGCACTTGTGTTATTTGATGTTCCCTTGCATTCTGGTTGAAATTATCATTTTGCTCAAAAACTGCGAAGTAACAGAGCCAAGCTTTGGCTGGGTTAGACCATACAAGATGTGTAAATTTTATTTATTTTCTGAAAAATATTATTTTAAATGAAAAATGCATAGACTAAAATATTTTTCTTATATCTTGTATAAACTAATAATTAAGTGGCATACATGTTCCTGTAATTGCTGTTCTTATATTTTGACAAGTGCATTTAAAATTTTTGAGTAAAAGAAATAATTTATATATCTGCCAACACTTTTTAAGTGAATATAAATATTCTGCCATATGATATATCTTATCAAATGATGATCATGAAATTAAATTTTTAATCTTGTTTCAAAATCATTTTAAGGTTTAGCTATGATTAGTGCTGCCTCTTAAGTGAATAGTATAATTACAGAACATTTGAATATTCTCAAGCCGTAACATAAAGGCAATTAGGTATAAATAGTTTCTGAGTACTTTGTGATAAGTAACCAACAAATAATTGTTCCTGCTGATCAGGACAGTCCTATAATAATATTACACACAAAATATGCAGTGTTTTTTTTGGGGGGGGGTATAAAGTAAGGTTTTTTGTGCGTGGCAGGGTGTAATATAGTAATAATTTTATTTTCTTATAACCATCTGGTTTTTAATTTCATTAAAGCTGTATATTATTTAAAAACTGTGCCTGTTTTACTGCAATTATGACATATTGTTTAGAAAATTAATATTATTGAAAAAAGGACTTTTGCAGTTAATACTTGCTTTCTCCATGTAAGAGTTTAATGTAATATGTTTATCTATGTGGGTATAATTAGGTGAATTGCTATTTTCCTTTGAGTGACATGATCTGACTTGAAAAATAAGCATAATCATTTTCATTATGTAAATGATAGGGTGAAGCACTTGTTTTTTTGTTTGTGTTGGGTGATTTTGTTGTAGATTCAAACCTTAACCAGGTTTTTAAAAAATTTAAAGCTGATTTTTTTAATTGAAAATTCTTTGTTCCTGCTTTCAATTAAAATAACAACTTACTTCTGAATTAAAAACTTAATAATTCCAGGTTTATGTCGCCCACCAGCAGCCGAGCAGTAAAGTCGCTGAACACTGGAAGTTCGGTCCGAGGTTCGAATCCCACGAACGGGCTGGCTGCATGGGCGTTTTCGTGGTTTTCCCACATGTGTAACGTGTATATGAGCCAGTTTCCCTTAGAAATCCTCCACGAAGGCATCGCTCCTTTTAGGCAGATAGCCCTCGTGTGCTTTGCCATAATTGAATAATCCAATCCCAGGGTTATGTCAGTAACTAGCAAATTTGTGCATTAAAGTTAAAGATTATTATTAAAATTTCTAAAGAGAAAGAACAAAAGTAATTATCATATTTTTCTTTGCAGGTGACTATGAAAGTTCCACAGAAGAACAGCTAAAAACGTCCGAATGATTGTTCCTTCCTTAGCTAAGCTAGCAGGAAAAAAATTCTTATGTCTTCCACAAAATTTTTTCTTCATATCAATAAATTGTTTATTTTTTATAAGATTTGATTTGTTTATATTCTCTACCAATAAGGCTAATAGAGTTTTATAACATAAATGTAAAATTCAGTTTTTCTTGAAGATCTCTAATTATTTTTATATAATTCCTTATTTGTTCTGTTACATACCTTGTTTGTTATAACACCTGCAAACTGATATTATCATCTTTGAAACCTTAAAAACAATATTAAAATTGATATTTCACATTGTATTCTAAGTTAAGTTATTAATTGAACAAATCTGTTCAAAATGCAGATTTTTTAGTGGGAATATTTTATATAACAAATGTTACTTTAAGCTGTGGCTTAGTTCAATATATAAGAAATTATTATGAATCAAAAGAAAGCAATTGTACATATAAATCTGAAAATATATATTTGAAATGCCACAGTAAAGATTGCTTTATACTTGCAGTTTCAAAATATTGTTTGTTCATTTTAATGATTGGAAAATTCCTTCATCTCTTCATAGGAATTGAAATGTGCCTTGACGAAGAAAAAAATCCTTTTGAAGTTGCTATAATGTTACTTTGAGCTGTGGCTTAGTTCAATATATAAGAAATTATTATGAATTAAAAGAAATCAATTGTACATATAAATCTAAAAATATATATTAGAAAGCCCCAATAAAACTTGTTTTATACTTGCAGTTTCAAAATGTTGTTTGTTCAATTTAGTGATTAGAAAATTCCTTCATTCCCGCATAGGAACTGAAATGTGTCTTGAATAAGAAAAGTTCTTTTGAAGTTGCTAAATTTTGTTAACACTAATAAATAGAGCACGAATAATGAGAATTCACATGTTGTTGTAAATTTTCATTTGGTTTAACAGAATAAAACATTCATTGAGAATTCTCCTTTCTCATATAAATAAATAATCCTTTTTCTTCATCATGAGTTTAATCCCCCTCCAGAATCTTTGTCTAGGAATGTTATAGGCAGGTACATCAGCACAAGGGTAAGAGATAAATTACTTTTCTGCAAATTTAATTAGAAAGATAAAATAATCTATATAAAAAGGAAAATGTGTTGCACAATGTTCATGTAAATAATGCTTTTCTCAAACTTAATGGAATTTTGTATCATGTGTGAAACTTGAAATATTTGAATTTGGCTTATTATATTCTCTATAAGATATACGTACAAAATGATGTTCTAGGCAGCATAGTCTGTGCTGTAGGGCAAACAGAATTAGAACATCTTTTGATTATTCACTGTGATGTTGCATTTTGTGAAAAAGGCATTAAGACACTTTGCTGTAACCATTCTAAAAGCCATCTGTACCAATTGATTGAACTTGCCAAGTCGCTGAACACTGGTTGTTTGGTTTGAAGCCTGAGAACAGGCTGACTGCAAAAGTCCTAGTGCCAGTGCCAAAAAGTCCTAGTGCCAGTGCTGCCACTGTATTTGTTATTTCTCAGCCTCTTTACTCCACTGCGCTGTTGTGTCAACATGGTTCTATGGAGTCAATATCTTCAGACAATTTAAGCTGTCCAAATCAGTGTTTGATGGCTATTGTATGCAAAGTACCATAAAACTAAACTAAATTCAGTAGTGCAACAGCCCTAGTGGGCACAGTCTGCAGTGCCCCGAAATCTGCTTTCTTGACCTTGGGTTCCCAGGGTGTGTCAGCATATATACACTGGGCAAGTGGTCAGCTTGTCGCAGGAACCCCGGTGTTTAGTCCCCAAGTGAACTAACTTGGGACTATTTTATCCATCCACTCAAGGGATGAAAGGCTGAGTCAACCCTGGACCTGTGTTGCAGCTGGGCGAAGCGCTAGTCGCTGCAAGTACCAAAAAGGCATTCTTTAAACCCTTCCAAGAATGTCGGATGTGCTGGAGCAAGTGTGTGTGTTCCAATGGATGCCACACTAAAAATGAATATATAATATTTTGTACATTTCAAACAGAACTGGTCTACAAGCATTTTCTGTGAATTTTTGGTAAACTTTTATATTAATTTAAATTGATTTAATAAACCATACATATGAGTTTTTTTTGTTTTTGTTTTTGTTGTTGCTTTTTAGAATACTTTTGTTTAAAATACTAAAACATGCTATGGAAGTTAGAGGATGTAATTATATTTAACATTTCACTTAATATTTTAAACCTATTTTTACATTTATACACTGGTGAAATAAATTAAGAGAATTTCCATATTTTATCGAATTGCGTGAAAAGAACTGAACTGAAGGAAACACCACTGCTTCTAGATAAAAATGCAAATCTTGTACGGCAAATACATAAGCGTACATGTGTGTGTAGGCGGAGCCAGCAGAAAGACAGATTTTATAAGTGCATAGAAGGCAAGACTAATTGTGTTTGCTAGCACACCTCAGCAAATTTCTTGGTGTTATCTTGCAGCAATCGTTTAAATTTACATCGGAACAGTAAAAATGAGTAACCACCAACGTTTAGGTGATAAAATGAGGTGGCGAATTGTAAGGCTAGAGGCAGGTTAATTGCGATTCCAGATATGCAGAGAATTTAATTTAATGCCCAGCGTCGTGTGTAATCTATGGAAACAGTTCCAGGATACTGGATCCATCGAGAGAGGGTAAGGTCGTCCAAGAGCCATGATATGACCAGAGAAGATCGCTATTTGTCCATTTTAGCAAGGCATAACAGAGGGGCTACAGCTTCTTCCAAAAGATTGAATAAGAGAGGGCTGTTTGCCAGAAGACCGGCTGTTTGCGTCGCGCTCACGTCTACGGACAGGGCGTCCGATTAGCATGGTGTAGGCAGCATAGTGATTGGAGTACGGAGCAATGGGCGACCGTTCTGTTCACCGACGAGTCCCGTTTTAGCCTAAACACTGATTCTCGCCATACATTCATATGGAGAGAGCCAAGGACCTGCTACCTACTTTCCAATGTCCACGAAATCAACAATTATGGCGGTGTAATGGTCTGGGCAGGCATCATGTTGGATGGCTGCACATCTTTCCACGTCTTTGACAGAGGCTATAGGGATGAGGTCTTGGAGCCCTATGTTTGCCTTTTCCGGGGTGCAGTGGGCCCCGAGTTCATCTTACAGGACAATAACGCGAGGCCACATAGAGCTCTTCTGGTCAACAAATTTCTCGAGAGTGAGGATATTCGCTGGATGGATTGGCCAGCCAGGTGTCCAGACCTCAAACATATAGAGCATGTCTGGGACACTCTGGAGAGGGCAATTGCAACTCGCAATTCTCCTCCGAAAACCATCTAGGAACTGAAAACAGCATTACTGAATGAGAGGGACCAGCTGCCACAGGCACTGATAAACTACCTTATTTTTAGTACGACATCACGCTGCGAGGCCTGCATGGCTGTAAGAGGGGACCATACCCCTATTAACCCATTTCTTTTGTGTCTTCTGCAACCGCTGTTTCAGATCTTTAGACTCCCATGAGTGTTACACATGAACATGTGTGTCTATTATAACTGTTGAATGTTTATTTTGTTTGTATTATATAACCTATGTTCATACCAAGTTTTATTAAAATCTGTCCAGTAGTTCTGGAGATTGTAGATCAAATATGAAAATTCTCTTAATTTATTTCACCAATGTATAAGTTCAATTTTATTATTTCTAAAAACGGAATTCAGTTTTTGGATGGCAGCAGTTGCATCTACTTATACTACTGAAGTGCATGAGAGAGACTTTTGTAAAAGAAAACCTTCATAATATGCAGAGTGTCCATTAGATTGGAGTTACTTTAAAGTAATATAAAATCAGAAATTGGTGTATTAGAGTGCAGTTTATATCTAAAGAGTTAACACAGAAGTAGATTTTATTCTGGTATAAGGTATATTTAGCTCAGTCTCTTTAGCTTTGAGAGGTGGGTAAAAAAAAAAAAAAAATCATCCGTAATTTGAGATTAATTTATTTTTGCTTTTATTATCATTATTATCATGATATTACTTTGTGATTTACTTGGTGAAAAATTCTTTTAACTTCTAATTCTCTTAGATTTACTCCAAAAGAATTTTCTATCAAGTAGTTTTTAAGTTTTATAATGTTAAAAAAAAAAGCTAATATTCACATGTAGTTTTATTACATTTGAATCGTAACCAAATAATCTTAAAAAATTTCATTAAATTAGAAATATTTTTCATTTTTAATTTATGCGAGTGATGTTAGAGTTGGTTTCAAGCCAGTGTCAAATTAATACTTTTCATGGCAATCTGCATAGTAATGCTCGGTACTTTATCTGTTATCTGGAAAATCAAAACCCTTTTTATAAATTGGAAAATAATTTTTAGTGACATATGAATGCAAGCATTTTGATCTTCAATTTGTGCACGACTCCTGAAAAATGATCTCAAACTTTAAATAACTCGGGCAAATATTTTTGGCACCGTAGTCACGGATGTTTTTTTTTTTTTTTTTTTTGCTTTAATTTTTATAATAAGTGTAAACGTTTACTAAATATAACTACAAAGGTCATATAAGAAGTTAGCTTCCTAATTTTTAAGAAATTGATATTTTAACTGAAGAAATAATATATGATGTATATTTTCTGTACATGTTTATGACCAGCAGTTGTCCCCCCCACCAAAAAAAAGGTTTTGAATTTTAAATGAAGTCCAAAGGTGCGTTTTTTTAACATTTTGTATGTTACCTTTATCATGTTTCCACTCAGTTCAATAGCAATGTCACAAAATAATTTTAAAATGTGCTTATCTCTAGAATTTCCCTTACACAGTTCTGTGCCCTGGAGATAAAAAGGTTCCCCCCCGTTGCCATTGCTCGCTTTGAAATTGTTGAGTTTGTTATTCAAAAAATTCATTAAAGTTTTACAAAATAAGAAATCGATAATAAAACAAATTTCAAATTTGGTCTTCCACATGCCCATATTTGTAGGAGGATTACGTCATTCAAAATTCGATGGCTCTATGTACCGTTGTTTTATCACAATGCGAGAAATATACATACATTTATGCAAATTTTTCAGTATTTCATTTCTTCAACTATGATGCAGGACTCTAAGATTTGGTCGCAACAGTTTGAAAAGTGAAACGGACATTTATAGTGATTCAACGCAAAATAGCAAAACGAAAACAATAGTCCTCCAGGGACAAAGCCGGCGGGTTTCAATATAACATACTAACTCTCGTACTCATGAGAGAGTTAGTATGTTATATTGAAGATGGATTCCAGAGAAAACTTGAATGTTTGCGAGTGTATAATGTATCTTGAGAAGTTTTGTGGTACGAAAAAGCAGTGGATTTGTCCTTCAGAGTGTTCATAAAGGAAAAACGTGGCATTGCGTGTTCTCGTGAGTATAAAATCGGTCACCCTCTGTGGTCCACCACAGGTAACAAACAGTCTTGATGATAACACGGCTAAATGTCCGATGTGTCTTGGCCATTCTCGACGAACACAGTAAGTTGCAAGTGTTCGGCCATTTGAAACAACATATTGAAAAATAATTACATGCACGCACACACACACACACAAGAAAGTCTGATTACAGAATGTAGGATTGAAGACTTTATATATATATATATAAGCAGGTATGCCATAAAAGCAATTTTTCACCCGATTATAAGATTACTGAGTCTCATTTTTAAACACCTTTTTGCTAGGGAATCGCACGGTGGCCGTTATATTACTAGATATAAAGTGATGATCTAAAATTCGGAATCAATGAAGTCCTGACA